AGTCTTTTAATAAATTTTCATTTCTATTTTCCTTAATAATTTCAGAAAAATTCATTTCTCGGGCTCTCGACCTCAAAATTCGACTCCGGGCATATGCCCGAGTCTCATATTTTTCTACGGACCCTCCGGGATCGTCAAATCACGGGTCCGGGTCCGTTTACCAAAAATGTTGACCAAAGTCAACTTTAATCATTTTAAAGCCACATTTTGAAAATTTTCACAGAATTTAACATATAAGCTTTCCAGCTACGCGTCCGGACTGCGCACGCAAATCGAGGCAAGCAGAAGTGAGGTTTTCAAGGCCTCGGAAGCACGGAAAAGAGAGAAATCCGGTGATGACCCTTTGGGTCGTCACAGTATTCCCAGTAGATTTTACAGTGCTTGAAATGGAAGAAAATACTGAGGTACCATTAATTTTAGGTAGACCATTTCTCGCAACAGGAAGAGCAATTATTGATGTTCATCAAGGACAACTAATATTGCGAGTTGATGAGGAAAGAGTAATATTTGACATGTAGAAAATGATGAAATTTCCTGGGGATGAATCATCATCATCTTGTTTTCAAATTGACTTACTAGATAACCTTGTAGATGAATTCAAGGATAATCAATTAATTTCTGATTCATTGGAAAGATGTTTGGTCAGGTTAGGGACCACAAGTGATGAAAATCCCACAATCAGAGAAGAAGCTGAAACACTGGAAAAAGAATCAGAAAATGAGAAAGTCTCACAAGAAGAAGTTCAATCAAAAATTGAACTCAAAAATCTTCCTTCTCATTTAAAATATGTTTTTCTTAAACCTGAATTATTTCCAGTAATCATTTCATCTTCTTTGACTTCAGAACAGGAATACAAACTGATAGAGGTCTTGAGGAAACATAAAAGAGCTTTAGGGTGGACTATAGCAGACATCAAAGGAATCAATCCAGCTATTTGTATGCATAGGATCCTCATGGAAGAAAATTACAAACCAGTAGTCCAACCACAAAGGAGACTGAATCCAGCAATGCAAGAAGTTGTCAAGAAAGAAGTGGTGAAACTTTTAGCGGCAGGTATCATTTATCCAATATCTGATAGCCCTTGGGTAAGTCCTATACATGTAGTACCAAAGAAAGGAGGTATGACCGTAATAAAAAATGAAAATAATGAACTCATACCTACTAGAACAGTCACAGGATGGAGAGTCTATATTGATTACAGACGACTTAATGATGCCATGAGGAAGGATCATTTTCCTTTGCCTTTTATTGACCAAATGCTTGAAAGAATTGCAGGCCATAGTTTTTATTGTTTTCTTGACGGATATTCTGGGTATAATCAGATACCAATTGCTCCAGAAGATCAGGAGAAAACCACATTCACATGCCCCCAAGGTACGTATGCTTACAGAAGAATGCCATTTGGACTATGTAACGCTCCTGCTACATTTCAGCGTTGCATGTCGGCAATTTTCTCAGATATGGCTGAAAAGTTTCTTGAAATTTTCATGGATGATTTCACACTTTTTGGTAAGACATTTGAAGATTGTCTCTATCATTTAACTTTGGTGCTTAAAAGATG